TATTTTACGTTTCTATCAATTTCTTTGTATTTCTTATTTTTTATTACTACTAAATTTCATCAGCTTGCTGGACAACCGCGCTCTAATTTCATTGACCACAAATACTTTTGCTTATTTCACATGGAGTTATTTCTTATGGCTAAAACACTGCACGTGTATACCTGGTATGTTCAATGCTAAATCTATATTTTTAGAGGTGCTATATAATTTGTTGGGAACTATTATAGTTATGTAGTTATGAAATCGTGCTCATGTCCAACTAACCATGTTGTATATATCTACCTATGTCTCATGAGCGTACAAAGAAATTTCTAAATTGCTCCTGATTCATTTGCTTCTGTATTAAAAATGCTTTTAATATATAGTGTGTTTGATTTTAACTTCATCCAATTGTCTATGATTTTTCATTTTACTACTTTGATCCAATCGAACTTCTTCACATCAGTTTGCTCAGTTCGAGTAAATATTGAGTTGAAGATGTAGTTCACGAGAATTCAACATATTTAACACGCTAATATTACTTTTAAAATAACTCTGCCCGTGCATTGCACGAGTAAATGACTAGTTTAAATATAAAATTTCAAAAAAAAAAAAAAAAAAACTGAAAAAGACTCGTCTCGCTCACCATTCAAAATGAGGGGCAAATAAGGGCTGGACTAGCGTGGCCATCTTGAATCCTGTAGGCAAGAGGAATCCGCTGATTGAATCCATTCCTAATAATGCGTCGTTAACAAGGTCTACTTGCGTGGCTTTGACGTATATTCTAAATGAAAGAAAAAGAAAAAAATTTATATGAAGTTTTGATCATTGGGATTGTACCTCTACCATTAGGATTCTTGTGGGGGGCGATTGCCTCGATTGGATTTTGGAATTTTCCTCTCTTTGTAAATAATTTGCGATTCCTTCATTTTTTAAAATCATTAGGCGAGTTGATTCTCAAATAAAAATGTCGAGTGAAGATGGTAACAGTTGATGAATTTAATAGCGTAAAGGTTAATGTGATTTGGGAAAATTTATGGCCTCTCATATGAAACGATTACTTGAGATCCTACCAACTTTATTTTTTCTTTAAGAATGTATTATTACTTAAGGTATAGTCTTGGAATTTTTATTTTTACTTTTTGCATAATTACCTACTCGATCAAGTCCTGACTTCATCCTTAATAGTGAAAATGGTGAACTTTTTTCAATGCAAATAAAAATGATTTGCTAATAAGATCGATCATAAACGAAAGTGGAACAGTAATGTCAGAAAGTTTTTAACTATCAATAATATTAATTATGAAATTATGCTAGAGGAAACAAGATCGTTTTCAAATAATTCTCGAAAGATTAAGGCCTTGTTTGTGGCCCTTTAATTTCAAAAATTGGAGTATGGAATGTTGATTGATGTTGAAATATGTAGTTAAAAAAGAAGGAATTTTTTTTATTTATATATAATATTATTTTAATGAAAAATATGTGATTGAAAATGAATACTCTAGAAAAAATAATGTGATAAAATGTAAAAGAACGGTTGACAAACAAAGGCTAAATCTTATTCGTTTTCATATTTTGGTCTTTCCCATGTAATTCTCGTCTCAGTAGCTATAATATAGCAATATCAAAATATAAATGCACTATGCCTTGTCTTCAGATTACATCATTTGAACGGAATATTAATATATTTGAAGGTGTCAAAATATGTCAGATAATCTATATTTAGCACTTATAATCACGGGTCAAGCTCCATTTAACATATCTCTACCAGAGAAACGTGCTAGACTCAGTTGTAAGAGCCCGTGATGGTCAGCACACACTGGCCTGAATTTAATCAAAAAAGGATTCTAAGTTAATTCTCTCTTACCAATTGATAATTTATCGTTATAATTTAAGCATTTAAAAATCATATTTCAAAATTAAAACTTCTAAAAATCTTTCAAAAATCAGGTTATAATTAATTTTTTTAAATATTTAATTATAATATAGTATAATTAATCTACCTACTCACGCACCTCCAACTCACTCACCATCACATCAAACCCTTCTCTTTCTCTCTCCACCCCACCCCACCCCGACAACTTCTCCGACGATTGCTCCAGCAACAATTCCGGTGATTGCTCCGGCACTGGCGACAATTCCAGCAACCCCTCCAGCGAAAATTTCGACGACGGCTCCGATAAACTTTTCATCGACTATTCCGATGACCGCTTACTTTTGCGACGACTACCCTTTTTTTTTTCTTCTTTTTTGACAATGACCTGTGACCATTTTTTTCAGATCTGTGACCAGTTCTATTGAATCTGTGACCTAATTAGGTGGGAAGAATATGCATATGATCAATTTCAAAATTAAGAAATAAAGTTTAAAATTTCAAAAATCAAATACTATTAAATTTTAGTTATGAAATAATTAATCAAAAAAAATATTTTTGTAATTAAATATATTAAATTCATAAATCCTTTTTTGCTTTTTTGGAAATTAACCTGTGACCTGTGTACATTATGACAAACAAAATATGATTTTCGACCCGTGACTTGTAACATAAAATGTAACCTATAAATTGATCAGTGACTTTTACAAAACGACATGTGACCTATTAATATTGATCTGTGACCTGTTTATATCGATTTATGAGTTACATGAAATAACTGTGATTTGTGAACTCAAACATGTGACTAATGAACTATGACTTTAATGGTGGATTGTGACCCGTAACGTATGAACTATAACCTTATGTGCTCATGGCTAAATTTGTCATCAGTGTGACCGTCTGTGAGCATATTAGTCTAATTTGTGATTACATGTAATCAAGTCACATACAGTCACAGTTAACACAAATCTAGTCACAGGCAGTCACAATGAAGATAGATTTGGTCACTTACCACCATTCCTAATATCGGCAACCAAACGTACACCATCTCACTAGAACCACATGTACTACCAACTACGAAACCATTGGCATCGCACCGTACTGCACCACACCACCAACACAACCTAACAGCATCGCCACTTGTGCCGAACACTATTGTACCCAACACTATCACTTCACCACTTGCACAATCTGTATCTCACACAGCATCATAATCTCACACAACCACAACCACCACCACCTAACTACCACAATCGACACCACAAACATAACACCTATGACTAGAGAAAAGGACTACCTGCACGACTACTACTTGCACTTCCACCAACACTAGCACCACCATCACCGCAAGCATTACACCACCCAGCCAAACCACAGATCCAAAAATAAAAAAAGTGGGTAGAATGAGGGAAAGAGAGAAAATGGAGATGTTTCGCTCATGGTTAGACAAATGGAGAACGGGAGTGGAAGGAGGGAAAGAGCTGCACGTAGTAGCGGGTTAGTCCGTTAATGAAGCGCGATAGTGATGCGAGTAAAGCCGGGTATAGCAACCATCGCCTCCATTGGTGAGTCTACGATCAAATTATCAGTGTTGAATCTTCTACTGGGCGGAGACCGAAGTCAATATGAAACACATAGACCACTTGTCAAAACTGAAAATCTGATCGCAGACTTAGTTTTGGATCTTCTACTGGCCGAAGATGATGGCTCCCAAAATCCTGACTCCTTGTTCTTTGATAAAAAATCCAGTTCTAACTATGGCGGTGGTGCTGGGGAATAAGCTATCGAAAGATAGTGAGAGGTGCCGCCTAAAGAGACTGTAGAGAGAGAATGGATAATAGAGATAGAGTTTTGTAGAGATGGAAGGAGGAAATGATTAAAGGTGTAGTGTGGTCGAGAGTGGGGTAGGTAGGTATATTAATTTAATTTTATAATTTTATTTAATCTTATTTACCACCTGATTAGTGAAACTAAAATTAATTTCTCCTATTTTTGAAATATAAACTCGAGTTGAAGGGTTCTCAGTAATTTTCCCATAATTTAATTCCAAAACTATAATAGGCCATTTGTGTCATTTGAACACACCAAGCCCATATAACCGATTTTTCTCATTTCCCAGGCCCAATAAATTAAAGTCCAGGGCCATAATCAAACTAGGGTTTAACAACACACGTCTATATCTCCCTGCATTTAGGTTTTTACTTGTTTACTCTCCTCTCGCCTCGCTTCACAAGTCACACGCGACACACAGTTCATCTCCAATGGCGCCCAAGACACAGAGAGTGACACGTAACCCGGAATTGATCCGTGGGGTCGGAAAGTACTCACGTTCTCAGATGTACCACAAGAGGGGACTCTGGGCTATCAAGGCCAAGAACGGAGGCAAATTCCCAACCCACGAAAAGAAATCTGTAGCTGCTGAGCCAGCCGCCGAGAAGGCTCCCAAATTCTACCCTGCTGATGATGTCAAGAAGCCGCTTTCCAACAAGCGCAAGCACAAGCCCACAAAACTTAGGTACTATTCAGATTTGCTTATTTTTGTTTTCATGTTTCATTTGAGATTTGGCCCATTTGGGTTATGCTTTCTACTGTTTAGATTCCTTTATTTCATTATTTTGTTTTGCTTTTGTTTCAATTGAGATATAACTTGTAATTTTTTATAGTTTGCAATAATTTTATTTTTTAATGTTTCTTGGGTATAGGGCAAGCATTACTACAGGGACAGTGTTGATCATATTGACTGGAAGATTTAAGGGGAAGCGTGTTGTTTTCTTGAAGCAGCTTGCTTCTGGATTGTTGCTTGTTACCGGTTAGTGTCCTTATATATAAATATTTGCTTTCTTAACTAGCTTTATGTGAATGTACATTATAAATATTTGTTGCTAATTTATTGTGTGCTGAGCGAAAACAAATATGAATTTTCCATCCCTAACCCAGATCATCGTGTCAATGCCACAATTGTAAATAACAATTTGAATTGTGTTTGGAAAACCGTTGTGCAAATGTTATTATCCCCGCCACGTCCGTGAAGTATGAATATGTTACATGATTATCTTAATTTTTAATTGAATAGGCTCCTGTATGTTTAATTGACACTAAATCATGTGATCATTGTTGTAGTTTGGTATGGAAAATGTTTTTATGAACTATTGTTTTCTCTGTTTCAGACACTTTTTGACTTTTAGGGTGAATTTATATGCATGATTCTTGTATTTTTGTTTTCCTTATGACTATTCACTAATATTGGTGTGAGCTGTAAGCCTGTAAGTGGTTTAAAATTGTCGCAGAAAGAGCCCTTCTTGATGCTGTGGTTGCAACTTTATTTTGTTGACTCCCACTAGTTGAAAGAGGGCATTTCACAGGCTCTCTGCCATAGCCTCTTGGGTTTAGCCATGAGAAAATCGTTTATTATTTTCAAAGAACTCCTGAAAATACTTGTAAAGCATAATTAAATGGTATCCCTTTTTATCAAGTCATGTTTTGTCACCATGATGGTGACTAATAAGATAACCTGAAGGTATCCTAACCAGCAATGTCATTCTAGTGATGTGAGCTTCCCATAGAAGCTTGAATCTGAACTCGTTTCTCAATCAGGATAGTATATTGATCAGTTTAAGTTTCACTTTTTACTTTTATGCTTAGCTCTGATCGGTTTTTAGGCTGTTTATTTAAATATCTACTGAATTCCTCAATTCCTAAGACAAATCACATGATGATGCCAAGCTTTATCAAAATGTGTGTATATTGTTGCAAAGCTTTTTTGGGAACGTTTTTATCTTATATGCAATCTTCAAGGCTGTAAAATATAGTATTAGTTTGTGTTCGGCCATGATCATCTAGGGTGCGATTGAAGTACGACTTTCAAGGTTGTTTGCTATTCAAGTTCTATAGAATTTTGTCCATCGTCTCATGCTGTGCACTCATTATGTACTTTTTTGAAATAGTTATTTCTTTGATCAACCGGTAATTCATGTAGAAATAGCTCTTTGAATCACCTTCTGCTGCATTGCAATTATTTTAAAATTTTTTAAATTGTCGCATAGGACCATTCAAGATCAATGGTGTTCCTCTAAGACGTGTCAACCAGGCCTATGTTGTTGCTACTTCAACAAAGGTTGACATCTCTGGGGTGAATGTGGAGAAGTTCGATGACAAGTACTTTGCTAAGCAAGCTGAGAAAAAGAAGAAGAAGGGCGAAACTGAATTCTTCGAGGCAGAAAAAGAGGTTTGCCTTCGAAAAATAATTATCCTGTTATTTTTTGTGGTTATATTTATTCTTCCTTTTTATTGATTGGTTTGACGTTCTCTGTAATGTAGGAGAAGAATGTGCTCCCAGCAGAGAAGAAAGATGATCAGAAAGCTGTTGATGCAGATTTGTTAAAAGCTATTGAGTGTGTTCCAGAATTGAAGTTCTATTTGGGTGCAAGATTCTCTCTAAAGGCTGGAATGAAACCTCACGAGCTTGTCTTCTAGATAAATGACGTACTTTTAAGATTGTTAGAACATATATTGTTACTCGGGTTCCTGTATTTTGTCTTCCTCAAATTGTCTTTAGAGATTAATATTGGAACGCTGTTTTATCTGTTATAAACATCAAGTTTTGCTGTTAATGTCGTGTGACTTTTATTGGCTAGTTTACATTTTATTTATTATTACTTTAATAACTGGATACGGCTGCACCCGAGCTCTCTTCAACTTTAACTTGGCCGCATCATGCTTTTTATCTGAATTCTTCAAGGTCGATTGTCAAATTACATTTCTTAATTTTATACTATTGAGTTTTAATTCAACTGTGCATTTTAGTTGAAAATTCCTTCCTTTGCTCCCATACCAACTTGTTGGTCTTCACTTTTCATTGTGTTACGTATAAGAATAAAAATCCATTAAGGTAAATTCAATAAATAAATAGAGTCGATGGTAAAATAAACTACACTTTGTCCATTTGAAGTGTGACAGTCGATGGTACAAGAGCACTACATGAAAGATGAGGAAAGTTTCCATTTGAAGTGGTGGGGCCTACGATCAACTTATATGGTCAGTGGTACGATGGATAGCACGACTTAAAAAAAGATGGGGGAAGTTTCCATTTGAAGTAGTGATGATGAGTCGAGTGTTTTGATTAATAGTATGATTTTGATAGAAATATAACTTTCATCAATGTACATTTTTTAGAGGTTCTAATGTAATAATTCCTTTTAGATGGCTAGAAATCCCCCCTCTCTCTCCAAAAGGTAGAAACATCTCTTTTTAATCGTTTTTACCTTTCAGAGAGGAGAAAGAGTTGACATGGGGGATGGGATAGTTTTTTTTATAGAGAAGAGGGGTCAATGGAAGGAAGATAGTCTATCCATCTCTATCTCCTTCTATCCCGAGTAAAGTCCAAAACACTTTTCCACTTTCTTACTAAAATTTTCTGTAAGAAAATTAGAAACAAGTAGTTCATGTAACGTAATGAAATGAGTGATGCTGCGTGTACATAATGGTATACATATGGGTTTACACCCCCTCACATAGAGGGGGACTGTTCCATATACATTAAAATATTTGTGAGTCCTCCATGTGAGAGAAGTATAACCCCGTGTGTACACCTTAAAGTGTACATGTAGTATTATTCTAATAAAATTTGGTGGTAATTTTAAGACCTAATAGACCTGGCCAAACCTAAAAAATGCTCACCAGGGATCAGTGATTGCAAATACTCCTACAGGCAAGACATAGACATGATTCTTGAAACGAGTTTCCACAAATACACTAAATCGGGCACAAGTCCTAAAGGTCTCATTTTAATACGATAATCAAGGTCAAACAATGAATTTCTAGTCTAGCAATTAAAAAAAAAATCATTCTACTTGTTTAACAAAAGTAATTAAGAATACCAAAAATGATTCACAAGTCACTCTATATAAAGAAACGGCAATTTCAGTTCTGAAACATAATACCAAAAATAAAACTGTGATTAAACCAAAAAATAAATAAATAAAAATGCAGGCATTTGCCACAAGAGCAGAAACAGAGATAGAACCCTTCCACCAGCAGCTATCTAATTTATTTCAATGTAACACGAAAAGCTACTAGCATAACCTCAAGATAAGCATTGTTTTTCGTTCAAGCAATGACAATAACGATAAATTAAACCTTGTTCTCAAAAGACATTTGGGTTGGCTATATATCAATTCATTTTATTATCCAAAGAATCAAGGTGCGAAGCAACTAACCACCTTGGTCCTCTCCTCTTATTTTATTCCATTGTGTGTATTCTCATTTCTTGACTTGCCTAGTTTAGTACGACCACCCATCCATCTTAATAATCCTAATTCCACTGCATTTTATGAATTTGTTATTTCACAGCCCAACACTCAGGACCATGAGGATAATAAGTTTAATCACGACACTAAATAACTGATCTTTCTATCTTCCAAAAGCTTTCTATCACACAGAATCGTGTTAACACTTCTCCATTGCATTCAAAGCATTCTAATTTTGTGCATTACATCGTCTTCAGCTCCCCTTTCCTTGTTAATGATCGAACTCACTACCTAAAATAATCACTTACAGAGAAAACAAGTTCCTCCATTAACTATGTAATCGCTGTTATTATTCTTATTTATTCATACTATTAGTAAAGTGGAATTGTATCAGTAGCTACCTAATTTGCTTTAATGACAAAACAAATAAAACAAGCGAAACACCAAGCTCGTTAAACAAGATACAGAGAGAGCTTAAATGTCCTTCCGCAACACAACAACAGGTGATAACTTTGATGACTGGTATGAACTTAAGAACTTCATATCCGCTAAAATATATATAATGTAAACAAAAAGGAGTCTAAACAGTCAAGAAATTCACTTATGATGTATCAGTCCTGGCTGTAGTCACGACTCTTACATTCTTACACCAGCTTGAAGTCGTGTATGTCACCATAACCCAGACAAGGTTCTTATTCTTATTGTTTTATTTATTTGGTGGCAGGAGAAGGAAATGAGTTCTTTTAGGCTAATGTAGATATGCAGATTCTAGAACTTCTTATTATCGCATCAATACATTTCATGTGCAGGCAAGCCACGTAATTACAGTTAAGACCTTAGAACATTCATCATATGTAAATATTTGAACAATTCGATCAACTTCAAACATTTCAACGACCAAATCCATAAATAAAGATACGCCTGTAGAAATTAAGAAAGCAAGAAACTTGCCTTTCGTAAATAACCTCAAAAGTAGAACCATCTACGACATGATGAAAAGAGAGTCAGATTTGCAATGAAGCTCCACTAATTACATCTGAATACACAAGAAAAAAATCCAATCTCAATCACGGATACCAAGTTCGACTTCGAGCTCATCATCTTCTTCAAAAAGCTTTAGAAGACGCGCATGTTGCTCCTCTCTCTTCTTCCTTTGCCACAGCTTGAATAAGAAAACAGAAAATGCAATTGCGGCCAACAGCCCAATGCATATGAGGAGTATTTCCAATCCAACAGATCTACTAGATGACTTCTTACTCACAGCTTCCATTCCATTCTCGGAATTTGATGTTGATGAGCTGTCTGCTAGTCCTAAAAAGACATCATAGACATTCAATACGTTACTCCTAATTAAATGGAAAATAATAATAAAAATGATTAAGATAAAACTTGTGTTGAAAAGATCCTTAATTTATATTGTGCGCTGAAGCTGTAACATAAAAAAAAAAAAAAAAAAAAAAATCATTTCCTTTCCCTGTGCTAATGATTCTCCAGTATTTAACATTGACTATAAAGAAAAATCCTTGATTCCAATTACCATTGGATTATTTCAGCTAGAAAGCTTATGATTTTATCCATCATTAGTAGCTGCATCAAGAGCGACTCAATGTTTATAATACAAAAGAACAAAAAAGCTAAAGATGTTTTTTGAGATTTAAGTAGAACAATATAGAAAAGTAGAGAAAGTGTGATAAATCTAAATTTGATGACAAATGTTTCTACTAAATCGAAGAACAGCTCAAATTTTGATAGATTACTCTATTACAGTTAATTGGTTGAACTGTCAAATCAAACTGTATCTAAACAATGAAATCTCAAGCATAATAAGAAATGATAGCAACAATATCAGCAAAAGTACCCAAAATAATATGTTATAACGTTAAAAATGCTAAAAAAATCATCAGGAAAACTAGAGACTTGAAACTTACAAGACATTACTCCTGATCTGTCTACATTTTGTGAAAATCGAGTTCACCGATTTTAGTAGTTCCGTACACTTAAAACAAACAACCAAATTTAGATTCAAGTAATAATAGAAACAACGAAAAGTGGCAGAAGTTCACGGTCCACCCATATTTAAAGATTTCCAATTTTTTCATATGCGATCCCCATCAAAAGCCACATCTGGAAAAATAACGCAATTTTTTGAAACGTCAAAGCAAAACCAAAAATTGACGTCAAATATAAAACTAATACAATATAATTAGGAATTAGTCAGGCATAAACTCTGGAAGGAAATCTATATTCTACCTAAATTTCAGATTTACGGGGGGGAAAACTTAACAGTGATACAGATAAAATTTCCAAAGTTCACAAAAAATACCATGTTTTAGAAAAATTACCAGTAATTAATACATAAAGTTACTTAGTTGAAAAGAAGGCAAACCTGTAATTGATCGAAGAAGAAAAACCGAGAAATAGAAAATAAAAAACTGCAGAGATCTCCCTATTGTGATTGTACTCCTCATCGCTCTCGGAATCAAATTTAGTAGCTTTAAGTAGAATTTGATTCTTTATTTGCTACGCCCTGTGCCCCTGTCGGTGACAGCCGGAGATTTAAGAGATTTTGAGCACTTGCAGTTGGAGTTGGAGTGGGAGAGAAGTCCTTTCAATAACGGGTTCAATTCACCGGCGGCTTATGATGACGCAATTTGATTTTCTTAATGTAGCCATTCAAATATCATTTTTCTTTTCACCATTTTAACTAATTTAAAAAATAAAAATAAAAATAAAAATAGCAACTTTACTTTCCTATATAATGAATTTGAAAAAAAAAAAACAAAAATAAGTTTTTATTATATTTTATTTTTCTATGTAACATTTTTTTTAAAAATAAGTTTTTTTTAAATATTAAAAACATTTTTTAAATTTTTTTATAAGTAACTTTTTTAGAAATAATATTTTTTCATTTTTCTAGTAACATTTTTTTTAAATAAGTTTTTATTTTATTTTTAAAACTTTTTTTAAAAATAAGTTTTTCTTTATTTTTTTAAGTAACGCTTTGTTTTAAAATAAATTTTTACTTTATTTTTGAAGTAACATTTTTTTAAATAAGTTTTTTTTTTTTAACTTTTTCAAAATAACTTTTTTTTTAAATTTATTTTTTATATATAATGCAAAGTTATCGTTTACCCATTTTAAAATTAAGTAAAATGATGAAAAGAAATTGAACGATCAAGATGAAACATTATATGAAATTGAGTAGTAATGATGAAATAAAACCAAATTGGATGGTTATGGTGAAATAAAATCAAATTGGGTGGCTATGATGACATTAAGGGTGCGTTTGATTGTCAATATTTTTCTAAGAAAAATATATTTTTTCCATCAAAATTCTTACTTTTATATTATTTGATTTACATTTTTTTTCAATGGAAAACATTTTATACTTTTGGTCATGTGACCATATTTTCTTCAAAATCAAGAAAAATATTTTCTTTATGGAGAGTAGGATTTTATTTTCCATGAAATTCACTCTCCCTCTTTCACATCTATCCACTTATTTTCATCACCCACTAATAAAAGATGAACAAGTATAATATTTTATATATTAAAAATTAAATTAATCGAACACATTTACTTGACAATTTTCATGTAAATAAGTTCTAGACAATTGAATTATTTAGAATTTATTTTCTTCCCATACAAATTTCATTTTTTCAATCAAACGCAGTCCTAGTATAAAATTTGGTGGATTTAACCATATCAATTACCTATAAACATACTATTAGCCATGTTGTCAATGAATTTTTTCACAAAAAAAAAAAAAAAAAAAACTAGAAATAGTAAATTTTTTTGTTTTAAATGAGTTAATTGTTCCAATGGTCACTAAATTTAAGTTCAAGTATTTGATTGGTCACTGAATTTTAAAATGTCCAGTTTTGGTCATTGAATTTAGGTCCATGTCTTCGATTGATCACTAAAGTTTAAATTGTCGAGTTTTGACCACTGAACTTTGAAAATGTTGTACATTACTCACTGTAAACTCAATATTTTTCAATGTTCAATAGTTATGCTAGTTAGTAACGTATGGTATATTTCAAAGTTCAGTGACCAAAACTCGATATTTTAAATTTCAGTAAGTAATCTAAGACATAGACCTTAGTTTAGTGAGCAATCGAAGATATTAATCTAAATTCAGTGATCAAAACTCGACATTTTAAATTTCAGTGACCAACCAAAGACATGGATAAAAGTTTAATAACCATTGGAACAATTAACTCAAAAAAATATATGGTTAAAAAATTTTAAAAAAAAATTGGGTTCATGTACAGAATATTTTACTGTAAGAATATGTAGTTGAAAATAAGTTTAAAAAAAGAACTTTATTTTAATGGTGTCAAACAAGTTCTTAAATTTAAAATAAATCACTGTTTGGTAGGGATTAAAATCAAATTTACGTAAATTTTAATAAAAATTAATAAAAATTTGTGGGTGCAAAGTTGCGAATCCTAAATATATATGATTAAAATTATTTGTTAACTTTGATTTAGATTAAAATCTGAATTTTAATTCCTTCTAGTTAGAGGTTAAGATTTTTTTACATTGTGATGTGAAATTAGAAAGATGTAATAAAAAATAAGCAATCTTTGATATAAGAAAAATTAGGACAGGAAATGTGGAAACAGATTTCATAACTTTCAAGGGTCTAAAGTCCTGTTTCAACCCCATTTTCAAAAAATTCATTTTAAAATCTATGTTCTCCAATAATAATAATAATAATAATAATAAATGATTCTATCTAATACCAATTTAGGTGGTCACAATTAATATATTTAATTAAATGAATCATGTGATATTGTTTCATTTAATGTCGTGCTCGTGCAGTTACCACATAAACTGGTACTTAACACTAGTAGTTATTCCTCAAAAAATAATTTTACACATAAACCTAAGAAATTTTCTTACCTTTTAAATACACATTTTTTTTAAAAATTACTATTATAAAATATATTTTTTTACAAAACTGAGTTTGAGATTTGGTTCCGTTTAACTAAAATCAACAAGAGAAAATTGCATGCGACTTTCAAGTCAAGATTAGAAAAATATTAGCGATTTAATGATCTTGTCCTCCAACATTAATTCACATGAAAGTAACTTACACTTTTAAATATCTAATGTCACGAAAGATCCAATCTTATAAGGTTAAGTGGGTTGTTGAGTCAATATTTCATACTACTTGAAAGATTGTAGAGCCGGATCTAATTTTTCCTTTTAAAACAAAAACAAACAGGGGCTTAGTTTAAAGACATTCGATTATCTTCCATGTCCACACATCGCGTTGTTGTATTTTTGAAAATTACATAAATAACGAAATAAGTTGACGTTTGTGCAATTAATCAATCTAATTATCGTGATCTCGATTGACCCCAGCTTTTAGCATCTATTTGGGCACCATTGTGTACAAATTTTAGGGGGTATTTGATAAGCATTTTTATATAAAAATGTAATTCAGAAGAGTAAATTGATGTGAAATGTATGGTTGAGAAATAAGGAAATTTTTTTGATTTATGTGTAATATTATTTTAATAAAGAATGTGTGTGTTTCGCGCGGGTTAGTCGCTAACAATTAAAAAGGATCAGACGATTGTGTAAGGGACAAACCTCTTGAGACAAAGTCCCAAAAAGGGGTGTTCTTTTATTGGCGATGACTTTACAATTGAAAATCGAAAACAAAGTGCCTCCAAGGGGTGCAAGCACACGAGTTACTGAAAAAAGTGTTTAAGTCTAAAACTAAGGAAATTAAAATTACATGTTCTCTGTTCGAGAGTTTTTGATTCGGTCCTTTGCTATATGTCTTTTCGCCCTTTTATACTTCATGGACGATCTCTTTGTGATCAACCGCTAAAAACTGCTTGATCGTCCTATAACTGCCCACTTTCCTCGTAATGACCAACTTGTCATGAAAACTGCCTTTTTTAACTGCTGCCATTACTCTTCGTCGTTCAACTGCTTTCGATTGAATTCCTTGAATCGTGAAACGTGATAGGGCTACTTTAACAACTGCTTTGATAACTGTACTTCTTGATAACCACAACGCTTTATGTTTGTTAAGACCTTGGGCGACTTGAAAGTTTGGGCGAGAATAGAGTAACAGCTCTGGGCGACTGTATGGCACTCCGTTCGCTCAGATTCTGGGCGACTTGTAAATTTGGGCGATGGCGTTACCGCGTTCTTGGGCCTTCCCATTTGGGCCTTCGTCTTGATTTGTTTGATTGAGCTTCGTTCTTTGGGTTATCTGATTTGGGGATTCTCCAATTGGGCTTCACTCCTTGGGCTGTTCGATTTGGACTGAATTTTTATGTGTTAACAATTACCCCCCAATATGGCAGAATTAATAATAATTATTAAATTTTGCCATATTCACTTTGTGTTTCCAGCAACATTCGAAATTCCCAAGAATTTCAATCATTGTTTTCTTCTATAACTTGAAAAGGTGTGTCGTTTTGCAAACCCTTATAACCCCCAAACACGCCATTTCACTGCACCATTAAATCACGTCTCAAATTTTTGCGCCTCTCTCACGATTTATTGTTCATCTTTTGCTTCCCTGCTACGTAACCCTGAAAAACTTCGTTCCTTCTCAAATGGCTACTTCACAATCTCAAGCTGACGACTCCTTTAGTTTTGATGACTTTCATAAACTTCTGAGTCGTCCATACATAACCGTGAGTTTTCTCGCGCACGCCGATGTCGAACGTAATGAGTTCTACTTGGGTCCTTTCTTCAACAATACGGAGACAGTTGAACAAGCGGCGGTGGGTCAGCTGTTTCCTTACACTCAAGGCCCTCCATTCCTAAACTCTCTACCGCTGGAGCCACTTCGCGAAAGAGGTATTCGCACTTGACCTAAATCTGATGTAGCTTTCCGTAGGTGGCATGCTCGTCTTGTGGGTCATGGCCCCATTAAGGCACTTTTTGATAGCGCTAGGATTTCTGATTTGCTAGAAAACTCTATTCGCCCCCCTACTTTTGATTCAGCACTCTTTTCGATTGCTTTGAGTTTTTGGTCTTCCGAGTATAATACCTTTATTTTCCCTCTTGGCCCCATGTCTATTACTTTAAGGGATGTTGGGGCCTTGGTGAATCTACCACCTTTGGACGATACCATTTTTCCTGGTATCTTGGTTTCTGGTGGCGCCCCAAAGTTTGGTAAAATCTATACCGAATCTTATTCAAGCCTGCAAACCCTTCACAATCATTCGAGCGCTGAGCCTTCCCATACTGAGCGAGTGGCCTTTCTTCTAGTTTGGCTTTGTAAATACGTTTTGTGTGTGCCAAGATAAAGCCCTCCCTGAGTTATTTACCTATAGCGCACGAATTGGCGCGTGGCAGGCCTTTGAATCTATGTTCTTTCTTTTTGGCTGCCCTTTATAGAGGCATGGCTTCTCTTCAAACTCAATTGAAGAATGATGCATCTCCCACTGGCAGTGGACCTCTCTGGTTCACTCAACTGTGGTTGAGATCCTATTTTTCATTGCTTGGTGCTCCATCAATCTCTCGCCCCTCTGCTAGCTGTTATGGGCTAGCCATGGAGCCCTTGGCTCCTGTAAATATGTCCAAAAGGGACATTTTTTCATTCTTTTATTCTTTGAATTCAATCTCTTCCTTTTTTCCTTTTCCTCCTTTTTTGACTCCAAACTATGTACATCCA